AACACGCAGAGCTCAGCCTACATCTACCTGCTGTTATTGTCAGTTGTGGATCTGATATCACTGATTCCGGTGCCAATGTTGGTCGCCGATCTGCAGGAAAATGAGTTCATTTTTGGAATAGCGCTTTGTAAACTGCTCTGGTTCAGTGAAGGCACTAACAAGACGCTCTCACCAATGATTCTTACTGCTCTATCCATAGATCGGTACATAGCCGTTTGCAAACCTGCACTGATTTGGATGCGACAGACAAAATTTGCTGTTTTTGTTGTTTCCGTCTGCATCATGGCGTCTTTACTCTTTATCGCTCCTATAACAGCGCATGCCAAAATCGCGGATATGGAGGATTTTAATGGAATGGTGTACAGGAAGTGTACATTGGACGAAAACCTTTGGTTCGATTTGGTACACACACTCACTTGTTACGTCGCCCCAGTAGTACTAATATTCTCTGTCTACATCGTGATCTTAGTCAAGCTATTTCGACATACGCGATTTTCGACCGTCGGCCGAAAAACTAGCATCTCTCTATCCAGAGTGGTCAAGTGCTCAGTGCTCGTCGTCGCTTTTTATTTCATTTGTTGGACTCCATATTGGACAATGCGAATCCAAGCTTTGATGAATGGTAAGCTATCTTTTCGACTCTTTTTTGATCATTTGCTTTGAAAATTCTGTCTGCAAAATAAAGAAAATCTGAATCATCAGCTTCAACAGCTTCTCATCTTGAAGTCTTGAAAAATATCTCCTTGCAGTGTTTGGCGAAAAGCCACCGTTGCGCTAGAACATTAAAAACAAGCATTATTGCCTAGGCGGTCTTGAAATGCGATCTCTGACTGGCTCCTAATCATTCCTGCTCTATATTGCTATGTTATTGTAATTTTTAGATCATTCTAAGACTAATTATCCAGCTAATAATCTGAACATTAATAGGCAGTAACAGAAAGTGATGTTTTTCCCTGTGGAGACGATTTGCAAAGATCTGTTTTAGAGTGAGGTTTTTATTTTATCCTTGTAAAGTGAAATGCTGCTGAATTTTTGCTATTGCAAACTTTATTCAC